TGTCGTTAAAAGACAGCCTTGTGCGCTGTGTATCTGTGTGTGCCCGCCCAGATCAGCACCGCAATGTTTGCTCGCACCGCCTTGCCTTTTTCGCCATTGAGCAAGTTGCACCCGGCTGTTCGGCGTTGAATCCATGTAGCCGTTCATAGGGGCACGCTTTCAGTGCGTGGGGGCCGCGAGCTCCGGTCGCCTTTCCGGGACTTGGCAGGGACTCAGGCGCTGGAGGCTGCGGGCCTACCCGCGCGCTTTGTGTGGCAAGTCTCCGTGGGCAACGCAAAGAGAAAGATGAGAAAGACTCAGCGCAGCTTGCGCTGTGCTGAGCTCCAGGCTTAGCGGCTTAGCGCGTGTTGCCAATCGGATGATGCAAATTCCGGAAGCCCCGCGTTAGCTTGTAAGTTGGGACAGTTGCAGCGATGAGCGAGGATTTGGCGAACACCAGAGCAACTGGAGTTTCGGATCCGAAGTCCGTGTTGTCGCGAATCAATCTGAGACGCCGTGCATTCAAACCACCGCTAATTGGCTTTCCAAATTACAAGCGCTTGAAGGGCGCCTGTTTGTTTGTCACGTTCTTTGACTTGCCTCCGTGCTTGGAGTTGCGCGTCTGTGGAAGCGCGCTTGCCGTCGAGGCAGCTTGTGGCTCGGCATGCCTGAGAGTTGCGCGGCTTCAGTGAATCTCGGAAGCTGCGCACAGGTGCCCAGAGCAGTACCGTGCCTTGAGACTCTCGCGGGCAGCCCAACCCAACCGTGGCGCCTGCTACCAGGAAGCTGAAGGCTTGTGTGAATGTCTCGATGCACGCACGTCCATGCTGCCTATGCAGCTTGTTTGACACGCCGTTTGCTGATCATGCGGACGCTGGTTTTGCCAGCAGTTGGTACGACTGCCGCATGTCGGTGACTGCGGATGCTTAAGCCAGGTCGGGTAGTCAAGCAAATTATGGCAGAGGGTGATGATTTGCTTGGCCTTCTGAGGCCCTCCATGCCGGCTTCGGGTTTAGCTGAGCCTTGTTTCTTTTCACCTGCGCTCCTGGCACCAGTCTGTTTGTTCCGCTGCTGCCAAGCATGCCGGGTAGCAGCTGAACACTTGTGTGAAGATCTTGACGCGAATTCATTTGTGCTGCTTGCTTGACGCGCTGGCTGCTGACCTTGTTTGTCCCGGGCGCTAGCTCGACGGCAGCATTCCGGCAGAAGCTTGCGCTAGCTTGGGCAATGCCGAAGGCTGCAACTCTCGGCGTTTCCTGGGGCCTTTGCTCTGATCCAGCGTGTCTTTTACCAGTCTGTCTGTTAGACTGCTGCCAAGCATGCCGGAAAGCTGACAACTTGTGCGAAGATGTGGACTGCTTGTCTGTCTGCTTGCTTGACACGTTGCCTGCTGACCTTGTTTGTCTCGGGCAGAAGCTTGCGCTAGCTTGGGCACAGCCGAAGGCGGCAACTCTGTGTTTCCTGGGGCCTCTGTTCTCACCAGCGTGTCTTTCACCAGTCTGTCTGTTAGACTGCTCCCAAGCATGCCGGAAAGCTGAAAACTTGTGCGAAGATGTGGACTGCTTGTCTGTCTGCTTGCTTGACACTCTGCCTGCTGACCTTGTTTGTCTCGGCCACTAGATCAATCGCAGCTTTCCGGCAGAAGCTTTCGCTAGCTTGGGCAATGCGAAGGCGGCAACTCTCGGTGTTTCCTTGGGGCTTCTGTTCTCACCAGCGTGTCTTTTACCAGTCTGTCTGTTAGACTGCTGCCAAGCATGCCGGAAAGCCGACAACCTTGTGCGAAGATGTGGACTGCTTGTCTGTGCTGCTTGCTTGACACGTTGCCTGCTGACCTTGTTTGTCTCGGCCACTAGCTCAATCGCAGCTTTCCGGCAGAAGCTTGCGCTTGCTTGCGCACAGCCGAAGGCGGCAACTCTCGGTGTTGCCTCGTGCCTTGCCTGTTCTCACCAGGGTGTCTTGCATCAGCGTGTTCGCTGCGAAGCATGCTGCTGGAAAGCCGAAGGTTTCTGCGAATGTCTTGAAGGACGCTTGTCTGTACTGCTAGCTTGCGCCGCTGCCTGCTGACCTTGTTGACCATGAACCCAGCAGCTAGTCTACTAGCACCAGCTCGTGATGCCGAAAGTCGCAGCAGTTAGTTGGACGTCAGCATGTCGCACGTAAAGACCGCTCGTGCTTGAAGGTGCCAAACATATGGCACAGAGTGATGCTTTGTGTACGCAAAGATCTGAGCAGGTGTCAGGTTCAAGTCCAGCAGGTCCGAGCCACCTGCTGGATCTGAACGGGAGACCTCTTCAAGCCTTCACGAATCCTGCCTTTTCTTCTCCATTTTCCGCCCTTTCTCCCCCCTCCCACTTCTTGCTTCGTGTTGTTGTTTCGTTCTGCTTGGGACTGGGAAAAGCCCCTCCCACCAGATCAAACCAGTGTACTTTGTTTAATGCCTCATTTGGATCAAGATCACTATGAGGCCCTCGATGTTGGCTTTGCATTTTTTGGGGCCTCGTTTGTTTTCAACTGGGCGTCTTGCATCAGTCTGTTAAACTGCTGCCAATCATGCAGCCAGAAGGCTGACGGCCGGTGCGAAGTTCTCGATGTACAGTTGTCCGTGCTGCTTGCGTGATATGCCACCTGTCCCTTCTGCCTTCAATGAAGCAATGTAGCTGCAGAATGCCACATGAGTTTTCTTGGTTTCCAATTCTGCATGTGCCGCAAGCACCGACCCTCCGCTTTGCTTGGCATGTGTTCGACGCTCAGATGCCGTGGAACGCAGGCCTTCGTGCCACAAGCTCAGTCGCAGCTCATGCGTTTTGTCAGACGGAGCTTTTTGCTCCACAAGATACATATCAGTGTTGCGTCGACGAGATCGCCAGAGAAGCAATGTGTTGCACCTGATGTTTTTTTTCTAGGTTCTGCGTTTACCCACTCCCCGTCACCAGGTTCCATGTCGCAGATGACTCGAGGCCGCTGGAAAGAGTTTCGCCTCAATCCGACCTTGCAGGCTGATGGGAGGCCCTTGAGGACGTGGGGTTGCACACGTGCATGTGGGATCCTAAAGATGGCTTGCCAAGTGGAAAAGGGTCGCCAGTTTTAGAAGAAAACACCTGTTGCAGGTCAGCGAGCTCATACAGCCTGTTTGCGTTCCTCCAGGACTCAGCTTTCGCATTAGCATGCTGGGAAGCGCAAGGGTTGAATTCGCACGTGCTTCTGAGTTGCAAAGCCCCCATTATCAGCCAGGTGTGAGCATCTCGGGGGATGCGGGCCAAAGAGCCCCATCAATAGCCCGTTCCAAGCCGCGCCTGGAAATTTGAAGTGCGGGGCATCAAGCTGTATTTTCCGAGCCAAACAAGTGCCACGAAATCCAGTTTATACATCTGAAATCTGCGTTGACTGTGGGCTGTCGTTTGCCTTCTTCGGGCAGTGTGCACTCCGCCTTCGACTGGCCCAAACAGAGTGCCCCTGGTGGCTTCTGCTCCAAGACTGTTCAGCAAGGTTTAGAGCCTTAAACGCAGAAGGTTTGCGCGCGCGAAGAAGGTTAGCGCAGCCCAGGTTTAGCGTGGAGTTGGAGGTGAGGCTCAGTTTCGTTCCCCCCCGAGCCGGCAAGTCAGCAACAAATGTCCCGGAGCAAGTCTGCTGATGCTGACGTTGCGCTTTGACTGTCAGGGACTTCAATCAGCAGTTGGCCTTGGAAGCTTTGCAAGGCCCAGTGGTAGACCACTGGTGGAGCTAAAACGGAAAAGGCAAGCTTCCAACCAGCGCCTTTGAAATTCTGAGCCTCGGGCTCTGTCTGCGTGCCCGGATCGGCATTGCAAAGTGCGTTGCCGAGCCCTGCCGCGCCATCTCGCCTTTGCGTCATTGACACAGTCGTGCCCAGCTTTTTGGCGGCTTTGAATCCACATTGTGGAGCAAAGCTGAACAGTTCTTGTTAGGGTCTACGAGAGTCGTTCGTAGGCGGAGGGCACTCGGCACTCGCGTTGAGATCCAGGCTTGACACATTGAGCCAAGGAAGTTCCGCCATAGCTCGGGAGTTTGGACATTTGCAGTGAGGATCTGGCGAATGCCAGTGCAAGTAGCGTTTCGAAGCCGAGGTCCGCATTGACGCGCCTGAATCTCAAGCGCCGTGCATCCAGATTACCGCCACTTGGATTTTCAAAGTACAAACCCTTGAAGGGCGCCTGTTTGTTCGTCGCGTTCTTTGCTTTGCCTACGTGCTTGGAGTTTCAGTTGGACCTTAGAAGCTCACATTTGAAGCATGTGATGGTTTCGCGGCAGTGAGCGGAAGCTGCGCACAGCCTTCCAGAGCACCGAGCGACACGTCTCTCGCGGGCCCGCCCGAACTGTCGCGCTTTGCGCATGTGCCGTGCGCTCTGGTGGCTTTCGGTGCCAGGCAAGTCAGAACCTTGGGAAACGGGGTGTGTGTTCTCGTCCAACTGCGGCCTTCGGAGCGGATTGGGTGATTGGATCACTCCTGACTTTGCAAACGGTCGGGCCAGACGATGCAAGTCTATGAGCTTATAGCTTCTGGCGAGGCGAGGGGGGATGCAGAGCCGACATGTGCTCCCATGCCAAGTGGGCACTTCCGGTGCAAAGGTTGCTTTGTTTCCGCGCTGGGGCCTCGCTCGCTGTCTTTGCCGCTCGGAGATACAGCCTTGACAGGCTGGCACTGGGCTCCGGTCACTTTGCCTGCCCAAGCCGTAAGGGATTCAGTGATGGCTCGATGAAGCAGAGTGTGGTGCAATGGCGCTCAGCCAAGACTCTATGTGGAAAGGGCAACACTTGGGCGAAAGTGCCGGGTTGCAAGCCTCCAGCGCCGCCCGGTTGGGGTGCCTGCTTTACTTGCGCTGTTGTCAGAACTTTCACGCGGTCATGGAAGCTAGGTGGATTCTGTTTGTGGAATTTGCGCAATGCGGCACGACGCAAAGTGGAGTTCAATATGCACTGGCGCGCGTGGCCAAAAAGGGGTGCTAATCTGTGAGAGACATTTTTTCCCCGCTGGACTTTTAAGCCACCCACAAGCTTTTTTCAAGGCCAGCGCGCGTTGGCTGCTGGAGGGTCTGCCCAGCTCGGTGTCCTCGCTGCACCTGGACTTCGGCGGCACGGAGGAGGAGTGGTGCAAGCTGCTGCAGCCGCTCAGGATGGGATCGGAGCTGAGGGGCGTTTGACGCGACTTTTTTAATGGCCCCCTGTCGCTTGACTTTGACATCGAGAGGGGATGTAACTCTCAAAGGGGATCCTGGCTCAAGACATGTCCCAATTCGCCACGATCCGCAAGTTGTGGAGAGATTCGGTCCCAATTGGTACAGGACGCGCTTCGGCGAAGGCATTCGGATACCTCAGCCAAGATCCAGGCGCGAGTCGATCTTTGAGCTTGGGCTGCATTGGCGCAATCATGTTTGAGAACTTTTGGGACTCCCATGCTTGTTCGGCAGTCAGGAACATGTGTGCTGGCAGGGTTTGTGTTGACGCTGCATCCATGGCCTTTCTTTTCTTTCGTGCCTGTGACACAGAGATTGAACCTAGGACTTCCTCGGGATTCCAGAATCTTGAGCACAGCTCTTTGGTTGAGCAAAGCGGCGCAGAGCCGGCGCCGTCTCTGCTCCCTAACGTTCTGTGGCCACGCTCGTTGCTCGAATCGCAACGCGGCGCCCTGCCCAAGCCGGTCAACGCCCTATCCTCAGCTGTAACCTGGACGGCTCGGCTCGGTGTGACTTTCATCCCTTGCGACGACTCCGTGACCAGATGTTTCAGAGATGGACCCCTTCATCAAGCTGGTGGTTGGATATCTAAGGCTACCCACAAAGCGCCAGAGGATGGACTATGTTGAGTTAGTCTGAGGGCGCTGGGCAGACAACCAGCTGAGTCTCCATTTTTGGTCAGTCTTATTGTGTGAGGCGTTCCGTGCACTGACCTGAATCAGCGGACAGAAGCAGATGAGCCTGCACGTGCAGTAGTTGGAGTAGTCATGAGCAAGCTGGAAGTTTGTCCAGAGACATGCAGCAAGAGGGCGGATCCGGAAAGCTGCGGTTCGTTGAGCTCACATCTCTGACCAGGATCTCGTATTTCCTTCGTATTTCTTCCTGCCACATTGAGCGTGCTGGGCAGGACAATGTTTGGCATGCTAACATTGTCTTTGCTCACATCGGCAAGAGGCGGTGAACGTTCATGTCGTTGAAGTTGTGTTTCTTGGTCCGGGGCGAACATGTGACATTTGGTCTCAGGTTAGCAGCTGCTTGCTGCAAGGAGGAAGACGCACAGCAGCTGCTTTGATGTCCTTTGCATTTTAGCCCTGTTGCAGCACCAGCAGCAAGACTTTGCTTTGGCATGACTACTGCATGACTACTGTTTTTGAACTGGCAGAGCAGTCACATGCAGTCCATTGCTTTGGGATAGAGGAACTATTGAGTGCTGGTGTTGTGCTTGTTGTGCGCGAACGCCCGTCCGAGCAGCCAGTGGTAGAATACAGGCAAAGTGAGGGTGATCAACAAGAAGCTTAAATACATGTGCTATATTATTTATACTTTTTCCCCGCTGGATTGGAAGTTTTTTCCAGTCCCCTGGGAAAGCAAGCAAGCGAGCAAGCGAGCAAGCAAGCGAGCAAGCAAGCGAGCAAGCAAGCCAGCTACCTCAGACCTACCCGAAACCCACCCCAAACCTTCGCCAAGCCCACGCTAAACCAAGCCCAAACCCACCTTCAACCTACCCTAAACCCATCCTTCACCACCCTAAACATACCTTAAACCTACCTGCTTGCCTTGAACCCACACCCTAAACACCCGAATCTTCACAAAACCCGCCTCTATCCTCAACTCAACCAACCCAACCAACCGAAACTAATCCTAAAACAACCCACCCTAAAGCAACCGCAAACACACCGTAGACCAGCCCGATGCCAACCTGAAGCCAACCCCCAACGCACCATAAACCCACCTACACACCCGTGAACCCCACAACCCTGCACCCCTAAATCCACCCTGAGCCGCCCTAACTCAAACCAACTCTGAACGGACCCCTAAGCCCACCCTAAAACCAACCCCGCACCCTGAACCTACACCCACCCCGAAAACCAAAACCAAAACCCGCCAAAACCCGCCCTAAACCAACCCTGAACACCCAAGAGCCCAGATGGCTGTCACTCAGCTTCTTTTGCAGCTGCTTGCATTCTCCTGTCCTCTTTCACTAAGGCGCCCACCAAATTTCCTCGTGAGGTGGTGATTCATGCACCAAGGATATCCTGGATGACGGTAACCGACCGCACCCAACTTGCCCTACCTAAACCTACCCTAAACCTATAACCTGCCCACACCCATGCCAAACCTACCCAACTAAACCCATCCGAAACCTGCCCTAAGCCTACCCTAAGCCTACCCTAAGCCCACCTTGAACCAACCTTGAGCCCCGTAAACCCTAAACCCAACCAACACTGAACCCAACCCTAAAACACCGGAACCACACTAAACCCACCTTAAACCCACCTTAATCCTCAACTAAAACCAAACCTTGCGCCAACTCAAACTCCATCTAACCCTCTACCCTAAACCAACTTAAAGCAACCCTGAACCCCCACCTTAAACCCACCCTGAGCACCCCAAGCCCACTCGAAACCCACCCGAAACGCACTGAACGCACCAAACCTAACCGCAAGCCCACCATGAACCCCTCAAACCCACCCCAACCCCCCAACCACACTAAAACCCTAAGCGCGACCTAGACCCACCTCAAGCCACTCCAAAAGTGACCAGAACATGGAACGGAACAACAATCCCAAAAGCGCTGGACAAAAAATCCCGAAAGAAAGGTCGGCGCTCAAATACTGAGGATCAGACAACAGCTAAGGTTTGCAAGCCCTGTGCCATTTGGATGAGAAGACAATCAGACAAAAGAGAAAACAGCAAGCCGCAGTTTGCAGTCTTCATCTTCCCGTACGTGCTTTTACATTCTGGTGTTTCTTGCTGTTTTCGCGTTGTTGGAGTTTTCGCGTTGGCTTGTGCTCCTCCAACAGTCGCGACTCAAGAAGCATTCTTTTGAAAACCGTCGCGTCTTCTGGATG